GATTTTTTGAGGGGATTTACTAGTCTGTCCACATTAAGGAGCCACCTCCACAATGGGACCTCATTGTACTTCTGTCTGTTCTTCTTTTGAACCTATAGCAACCTGTTCCTTGCTGCATCACTTGATGCTTTTTGATCACAGTCATGTCAGCCAGAAGAATTGGAGAACGTCAAGCACTCATGGCTGACCTACCTTATTCAATTTTCCATTCAGATAAAATATCTCTCAGATCCATTCCATCCAAAGGTGGTCATGGACTTCCACTTGGATGAAATGATACATGTACCTATTTTATTTGCCTTTTATTTGCAAAGAACTAAACCTTTCTGAACTTTCCCAGGATTGTTTATAGCAATTGCTGAGAGAATGAAGGGTGCCCAATTTCAACCTTAAAACTATCTAAATAGATTTTGTGTTGTATTAAGGCCCATTATGATATAGCTAGTCTAGAACCCCCAGATCAGATTATGGTTCATTCTACTAGGGCTCGGACAGATAATGCAGCACCAGTTATAAACATCTGTAAGGTAGCCACTTGGAGGAGTTCATACTTTAATGAAGCAGTATTCCATCATGGAAGCATTGATATCAGATATTCTTTTTGGCAGAGCTGTATACAGTCTCTCTTTAGGTAGACTCTTAGCACTCACTTCCTTAGATAAGATCATTGCTTCTGAGTTACCAAGAGTGGAATGAATCTAGATCAATTGATAAAATTATCAACAAACACTGGAAGAAAGAAAAATTACTTACCTGTATCCTGTTTGTGTGTGTGTGTGTGTGTATATGTGTATATATATATATATATTCCATGACCTGTCTGCCTTCCACTTGGGTGAGGAATCCTACATTTTTGACAGGGTTACTGGCCTAGTGGATGGGGGTAAGCTGTAGGTGTGATATACCTTGAGTTTAGTAAGGCTTTTGACAAAGTCTCACATGATATTCTCACAAGCAAACTAGGGAAATGTAATCTAGATGAAATTACGATATGGTGGGTGCATAACTGATTTAAAAATCATGCTCAAAGAGTAGTTATCAGTGGTGCACTGTTGAGGAAGTATATAGTGAGGTCCCAAAGGGGTCTGTCCTCAGTCCAGTACTATTCAATATTTTCATTAACAACTTGGATAATGAAGTAGAGAGTATGCCTATACAGTTTACAGGTGACATGATGCTAGGAAGAAGTGCAAGCACTTTGGAGGACAGCTTAAAATTTAAAATTCTCTTGACAAATTAGAGAATTGGTCTGAAATCAACAAGATGAAATTCAATGAAGGCAAGTGCAAAGTACTATATTTGGGAAGGAAAAATGAAATACAAAGCTACAGGTAGGGTGACCAGATGTCCCGATTTTGTAGGACCAGATGTCCCGATTTTGGGGGTCTTTTTCTTATATAGGCTCCTATTATCCCCGACCACCGTCCCGATTTTTCACACTTGCTGTCTAGTCACCCTAGCTACAGGTGGTAGTAGTGCTGAAAAGGATTTGGGGGTTAAAGTGAATCATAAATAGAATATAAGTCAACAATGTAAAACAGCTGCAATAAAGGCTAATATTCTGCAGTGTATTAATAGGAATGTCATGTGTAAGACAGGAATTAATTGCGTGCTTTACTCAGCACTGGTGAGGCTTCAGTTGGAGTATTGTATCCAATTCTGAGTGCCACAGTTCAGGAAAGATGTGGACAAACTGAAGAGAGTCCAGAGGAGAGCACAAGAATGATAAAAGATTTAGAATATCTGACCAAGAGGAAAGGTTAAAAAAACCTGTGCACGTATAGTCTTGAGAAAAGAAGACTGAGGGGGGACCTGAAAACCGTCTTTAAATACACTACGGGCTGTTATAAAGAGAATGATGGTCAAGTGTTCTCCATGTCCACTGAAGGGAGGACAAGTAGTTTTCAACTGTTTCTGTAACAAGGGAATTTAAGTTAGCTATTTGGAATAACTTTCTAATTATGAGGATGTTTAAGCACTGGGATAGGCTTCCAACACGCGTTGTGGAATCCATGTCGTTGGAGATTTTTAAGAACAGGTCAGACAAACACCTATCAGAGATCATTTAGGTTTACTTGATCCAAGCCTGTGGACTAGACTAGATGATCTCTCGAGGTCCCTTCCAGCCCTACATTTCTGTGATTCTCTGACATTTGGATTCTGTGGAAGAGAAGGAACTGTGGAAGAGAAGGCAGTTAGGCCTCTCTGTTCTCTATTTCCTTGATAAAGAGTACAAGAGCACTCAGGGCAAATGTGCACCATAACTGGAAAAAAAATATATATATATATATACAGTCAATGTGAAGAACTCCATTTACTGTACAGGTGAGTAACTTTTCAAAGAAGCAGGTTTAAACGTAAAAGGATATAAACTTTTATATATTACGTGAGATTCAAATGAAAATTGTTTTCTTGAAATGAAAAAAACCCACTAAAATCAAAGATATTGATGTAAAATTTACATTTCTTTTTTAAATTTTTATAAAAATATCACATACATATATTTCAGTGTCTGAAATAACTCTGAAGGAGCAATTTCAAAATCCTTTGAGAGCAAGGGCCAATAGAAAAAAGAATCCAATTATTTGGGTTGCTGTTTTCAGCTAGGGTGACTAAATCTCTGTAAATGGTAAGAGGGTTTCTAGAACCATCCAGTTTTCATAAAATTGTTGAATGCCCCTGTGTAAAGGTTTGGAAGGTTGTGAACTATAAGGTTGGGAATGTTCAGGCATTAGGAAATAAAAATGTTCCATCCCTTTGTCCATATGAATAAAATCCGCTGTCCAAAACAAGATATAAGATTTAAAGTGATCTTGTCAAGTAATAAAGAACTTAATATTTTTTATTTGTAGTGTTGTAGCCATGTTGGGCCCAGTATATGAGAGAGAGACAATGTGGATAATATTTTTTATTGGACCAACTTCTGTTGGTGAAAGAGACAAGCGCTCTGTGGAATCCTCAGTCTTGTCTCTTTCACCAATAACATTTGGCCTAAGAAAAGATATTACCTCACCCACCTTGTGTCTCCTAATATTTGTTGAACATATCCATAGTAATGGTTGAAGCAGATTATCTTGCAGCCTACATCTACAGTTAAAGTTGGAAAAGTCTTTAATTGCCACAAATGTTATATACAATTAAAAAAGTCTACTATGTGCTTCAGATTTGCATGTTGATTTTAGATTCTGATGCAAAAGCATTTACAAGTGCTACTTCAGTGACCAGAACAAAGGCTTGAAGATAAGCTAAAATATTTGAATGATCACACTACACAATGTTTAAAAAGGCTCAGCTATTTCCAGGGATGGAGAAATAGAATGGCTCTCTATTACGTTGTTTTGATTATGTTTTAGTGCTATAGACTTAAATGGGTAGAATTTTGAAGCTTAGAGAAAATATGAGATATTAGGAGAGGGACTGTTCAGGGCACAGAAGAATAGCAGCATATTGTCTGCACAGCTTAAGCCCTACATGAAGAGATTCAGTGGTACATAGGTTGTTGTGCAGGCCCTCTAAACTGACTTGAGTTTCATCTATAGGGTTCAATTCTAGGCTGTGGCACTCCACAATCCTCGGGCTGGCTTGGGGCCATTTTAGCCACTAGCACAACTTAAAAGGACACAAATGGCTACTCTGTGTTGTCCTGGATACAAGGGCCCCAAAGTACCATTACTCCAAACAGGAGCACACTAGCTATGCCCTGTTCCCCTTTCATAGCTCTAATGTCCCCAACTCTAGGAATTGTGAAGGGGCAGTGTAGAGACAGCAACACCAGCTTTGTACTGCCAGGAGAATCCTGAGTTGGCTGTTTGTCAGCTTCGTCATCCTTTTGGCATGACATCTGTGGGTCTGAAGACCTGCAGCACAGTATGTCCAGCCAACCAAAAGCAAGTAGTGCAAGAAGACGTTTAAAAAAAATCCTGTGATGAGGAGATTTGTAGTCCAAATATGTTTTAGATATATTTGGTTAAGTCCCACAGAAGCATCCAAAGAATCACATCTTTTGAGGTCAACCCATCACTAGTCCATAAACTATTTTACTGGGATACTCAATTACTTCTGCCCTCAAAAGTCTTTCCTGATAATTTGCATATAATCCAGCAGGCTTAACTTGCTAAAAAGCTTCATACTCCGAATTTCAGCCAATTACATTATTTGGGAACTGCCTGATATTGCAAGGCACCTTACTTACCATTAGGGCATTTCCACCTCTTTGCAAAAAGTGTGTACTTTTATGCATGCATGCCTTGAAGTATTGGCATCACTGTCACAATGAAGAGGGATATGTCCCACTGTACTCTTGGGGGGGGGGGAAAGGGGGGCATTGCCAAGAAACAGCTATCCTGAGAGTGGAAAATCCTTGCCTTTTCAGTGTTCCATAATGATAGGAAATTTTAAAAAACAAGTTTATTCTAAAAGGAACATTTTTTGTGTGACGAGGAAGATTTCAACAAAACAAAACAAAAGGTACCTCCAAAAACTAAATAAAAAAAATGCCAGAATACAATCCAGTGGTGTTCCTAGTTCAGTCTGCAATTGCTGTTTGGGATTCCCCATTCTCCCCCTGTGACAGAAATTACATTCCATCATCTTTGTTAAATAAATCTACTTCTTAAGAAATATCAGACTTTTTTATTATTGTATCACTTTTTTCCACAGAGCTTCACTGTGGATCCTGTATTCTTCTCTTAAACATTTTGAAACATACACAAATCAGTTTGGTTGTTAATTTTTTTCTAAGTATTTAATTGATTAACTCAGGGGTTCTCAAACTGGGGGTCGGGCCCCTCAGGGGGTCATGAGGTTATTATATGCGGAGTCGCAATCTGTCAGCCATCACCGTAAACCCTGCTTTGCCACCCACATTTATAATGGTGTTAAATATATTAAAAAATGTTTTTAATTTATAAGGGGGGGGGGTCGCACTCAGAGGCTTGCTATGTGAAAGGGGTCACCAGTACAAAAGTTTGTATTAACTTTGTGCATCTTAATTCCTCTAGGTAGTACATAACACAGCTGTTCCCAATGCACTAGCTGTTGACTGGATTGGAAAGAATCTCTATTGGTCTGATGCAGAGAAAAGGATTATCGAAGTATCAAAACTCAATGGCTTATACCCCACTGTTCTTGTGAAAAAAAGGGTGAAGTTTCCTAGAGATCTATCTTTAGATCCTCAAGCTGGGTATGGAACAATAGTTTAATATAAAATCAGAACTAGATAATGAATTATCATTAAAGTCCTCAAATATATTTTTTCCCCAGTGCAAACCTATCATTATCTAGTTTTTCCTTATCAGGTTTATTGTATATCAGCAAGCTAAAATACACAAAAGATGTTAATTATGTCTTCATATGTTATAAAAAGCAATAGTCAGGGAGATTAATGCAGGTTATAGAAAAAATAATTTGTGTTGTGTCATAACACATCTTGATACAAGATAATTTGTGTGGTATTTGTGTGGATCATATGGTATTTGTGTCATGTTAAATATGAAATATTAAGCATGGTCACATTTTTATTTAAGGTATCCACTGCAGTGAGTTATATGACAGCTACTCTTTTCTACATTTGCTGTTATCCAAATTAATAGTGGGCAGTGAAATGCCACGTGTCTTTAAAAAACACTCTTCAGATTTCTTCTGCATACTAGTGCAAGGATGAAAAATGTTTAATAATGTTCCTGATTTAAATAGTTTTTGCCATTATTTTAATATGTGCAATATCGTGAATTTTTTTAATACAAACAGTAGTAGTTGACCTGAGTTGGCCTTTGGTGGCATTCAAAAATGGCACTTCTCGGGGTGTACTATTAGTTTCTCTATAATTTTAGCTCTCATGGAAAATGTACAAACAAAAAGAGTTTGTAAACAGATCCAGTGCTGCCTTGCTTGAACCTACAGAAGAGTCAGATCAAAACAATAGTTCTGAAAAGTAGGAACTGCCCCATCATTTAAATAACTTGTTATCCTGAAGCATACAGATAACAATTTAAATGTCAACATTGTTAAATATTTCATTGCATGTACATTCATCTACATTAGGTTTCTACATGCAGTTTGAATATCACCATTATTGTTTTCTTCCCAATCTAAATCTTTACTGAACCAGAGTCATAGGAATAATGGGCACTGACTAACTCACAGCTAGAGAGTTGTTTTTTTAAAAGTGCACTGTTGTGCAAACCTCTGTATTCGGACTGACTACTGTCTGTCAGAAATCACTGAACATTTGAGAATTGATTTACACCCAGATATCTTTGTAGTCGGCAAAATTACCGATTAAAAATCAATGAAGTAAATAATTTTGCTCACAATAAACACAACTTCATCAGATATTTGGTTGTAAGCTTTCCAGTGCTGAGGCTTTATTGTCATACCTATCTATAAAGCACCAACTCATTGCTGGCAATAACCTACTACTACTACTACTAATAGTAGTAGTAATAATAATAATTAATTAATAACTTCCCACTTTTCCCAGCTAATAGCAAAAGAAAATTTTAATTTCTAAGTGAGACATTGCAATGTACCAACAACTTGTTGGTGCTTCCTGTTTATGAGGTGATAACTGTAACCTCACAACATTTACCGCCTGGGTTTATTTAGCTTGGTGTACAGTTGTTGCCTCATAAACAGGAAGCACACTCAAGTCACCAATAAATATATGTATAAACAATAGCCACTAACAGATCAGTGTTAATATGGTTGAAAAAGTCATAAAAAGTCTGTTTGCTTGTTTCCCATAGCTCTTAAAATGGATGTTTACAGTATAGGTCATTTTTAACAGGAATATCACTTAGGGTTATTTGATAAAAATAATGACATGAAGTAACTGAACCCCTCCAGATAAATAAAATTTGCAAGTAGCATTGACTGCTTCATCTGAAATCATGGAATAAAGAAAGCTTGCTTTGTTTCCTTTTCAGATGTGAATTAAATATGTAATTCTCACTTTATCATGGAATATTAAGACATTTTTGCTTAAGAAGAATAAATAAAAATCTCATAGTGTCTTAGTGGAAATAAATTAATTATTCTTTTCTATCTTTATTTCCTAAGGCTTCAATAATCTCAAATGCCACTGACAGAAGAAAGCTAATGGGGTGGGGGCTATCAAAGGAGGAACAGCAGTATACTTTCCTTGAGGATGATCATGATGATACCACCTAGCTCTTACATAGTGATCCCAAACAGTTGTCTCTGTCCAAGTCTGCAGCATCAGCATTCATAGTTGGAGAGGGGCTTTTGCTGGGAGTGTTGGGTCCAGGAGGTGGCCAGTTTTCATAGCATTATCCCTCTTCAGACCTACTTGTATATAGTAGTGCAAGATAATGCTGATCCTGTTGGCAGTATGTTATGTTTCTTACCCATCCACTTTGGGTAAGAATGATTTAGCAGTGGTTGGTGAGTCCTTGTCAGCATGATGTGTAAGGAAAAGGGAACCCAATGGAGCAGTGTTGAGACACTGGTCTTCTTTACAAAAGCCCCAGTATTTTCAGGATCACCTGATTGATTTCCCTGTCTGTCTTTGGCCAAGCCCTATTCTCTTTCTCTGATGGTTCTAGCCCCAGACCCATCTACCAGAACAACCTGTAAAAAGTAAGTACGTTCAAACTTAGGTTCCTGACCCCAGCTCAGAGTTTTTGGCACTTAGAGGATGATTTGGATCAATAATTTCTGAGGGAGCAATGGCCACAATAGAAATTAATAACATAATAAATCTTTTTGAGGTGCTGGATATACAAAACCATCACCAAAATCATTCAGGTTATTTTTTGGTTGGTTGGGTTGTGGTGTGTGTGCTTTTCCCCCACATTTCAAGTTCATTGAGTTGTTATTGTGTGATCGAAATGGTATTAGATGAGTCCAGTTCATCCTTTCAGGTAACATGCTAAAAATCATGGTCCATCTATATAGCAGATATTAAAAATGTTACCACAGTTTTCATAAGAGAAGTTTTTCCACTGCAGTCTGTGGCCAAAATTCCCCATCCACCTTACATTGCTGTGCAGTGTGTTTTGGGTCAATGTTCTGTTTCCTTCTTTCGTAAGGTACCTGAAACTGCATTTCAGTAGCTTTCTTGTACATGTGGATTTTGCATCTGGACCTTTGAGTTGAAAGTTCCCATAGAAACATACCTGCTGCTATATTTTTAACACTTACTGTTTCCAGAAACAGGGACAAAAATGTAAAATTAAAAAATATTTTCTCCATTGAAAGAAATAATTCCAAACACATAGAACTGATTGAGGGGGAAAAAACAAGAAAAAACATATTCCCCAATTTCCCCTCCTGAAAATCTGAGATATTCTAGTAAGCTTTTTGGTTGATTTAAAAATTATTAAGAATTTTTGTGAAAATAGAATGCAATATTAATTAAGGTTTTCCCTAATGTAAAATTTGAAAAACATCACCCAGCTCTACTCATGGAGAGCTCTCTCCTTAATTATGCCAGATCAAACCTAGATACAACTGAGGAGGGGAATAAGGCAAAAAATATTTTATTAGGGTGCAAGCAAAACTGTTTTCCTTGGAATTGGGGATACCAGGGGCCAAATTGCCCTCGAGCACAAGTTAGCAATACCTGAGAGTTGCTCTGTCATGCACTGGCTTGTAAAGGTCACCTAGGAGACATTCCACCAATGAGGATCACAGGTGCACAGGGCACTCTTGCTGTTGCCCCCAAAATACCTCTTCCTCAGAGCCGCACAAAGGTTTTTGGTGCCTTTGGCAAAATCTGACACTGAAGCCCCTATCTTACCAGATTTTCTCAGTTTACTAGTAGAACAATGGTGTTTGTTTTATTTTCCCCCTAACTGATATTCATACAAATTAAGGTTGGGCTACAAGAATCTAGCTGGGTTATTCTTCCTCTCAAACATCATTACCTGTATTAAATATTCTGCAATCCAAATTCTGTCATCAATTTAATCTATACAGCCTCATTGTGTACAAATTCTGGTCTCAGTTACTTATGCGTTGGTCTTTAAAATCTGCTCTGAATTACACTAGTGTAACCTGGAATTTAATTACTGGTGCTACAGAATGAAGAATTTGCCCTTTTGTCTTCAAATGATGTCTTTTCTCTGTTACACCTGGGTAATCTCACTAGACTTCTGTGGGAATACAGGGACAACTGAGAGCATAAAGTGGCCTCCAGAATACCAGTGATGATGCAAGAGAAGGAAATAAGTCATCCTGGTAACATTTTCAAAAAAGAACCTAAATGATTTAGGAGCCTAAGGGCTTGTCTACATGGTGGGGTAATGCACCTTACAAGGGTGTAATGTCTGAAGTGGACTAAAGTGTTACACATTAATTTGTCTGTGTAGACCCTGCTGTTGTGTACTAAAGGTTCCCTAGCATGTATTCATTAAAACCCATTAGGGAAGCTTCAGTGCGCATGAGTGAGCTTTAGAAATTACACCCCCATAGTGTGCATTGCTGCTGTGTAGACAAGCCATTAGTTTCATCGACATTCAATGAGATGATGATATGTCTACACTTCGATCTGGGGGTGTGATTACCAACTTGAGGAAATGTACTCACTCTGGCTCTCATTGAGCTATCATGATAAAGTGAAGCTGCAGTAGGGTGAGTGGGGCTGGACACCTTGAGTATGTGCCAGTCTGAGATCATAGGCATGTACTTGAGGCGGCTAACTCTTCCTGCCACTTGCACTGCTGCTGCAGCTATGCTCTATTTTTAGAGCACTAGCTCAGTCAGAGCAAGGTGGGTATGTCTCTTCGATCTGGGAATCATCCCCCACCCCGGCTTGAAGCGTAGACATATCCTTACTCTCCTGAGGATTAGAGTTATAAAGAAATTTGGGCGCTCTCTCTGGCCCAATGTTTCTTTCATTTTCCACAGTGAAACAGGTTCATCATGGGTCCAGAGAGAGCGAGAGAGCAAGCATGAGAATGAATTTGTAGCCTGTTGGTTAGAGCGCTCACCTGGGACGTGGAAGACCCACTTTCTCTACTCCAATGACTTCTTAAAATTATTTATCAACAGTGGAACAGATTCAATAGGAGACCCTTTGGAAACCTCACATCAGAATATCCCATAGCCCAGTGGCTAGGGCTCTCACCTGGGAATGTCAGAGCCAAGTTCAGAATCGTAAATGCTTAGGGAACTTTTATTGCAAAAATTCAGGCACTGAGAGAGTTTAGGTGCAGCTGAGTGGCGGTTTTCTGAATTTCATGTTTTCTGAATCCCACTGGGGCCTGATTCTGGGATTTAGGCACCTAAAGTGTCAAACACCTAAGTCCTTTAGTGAATCTTGCTCTGAGTGCTGAAGTGCAATAATGTGGAAATGAAAAAGAATTATACATTTAGTAAATTTACTCTGAAAATCACTGAAGACCAGTAAATAGAGAATCCCATGCCTGTTTCGCAGTCACTCTTCAAAGTCGAACCAGACATTTACATCTCTATTTGTTTGGTGCTGGGTTTTCAGCATTGATTTCTTGAGATGTTTTAAGAAGGTTGTGCTGTAAAACCAAACTGTTTAAACATATGGAAGTCAAAAATACAAATCAATATATAGAAAGTAACTTTGATTATGTGCAAAAGAGATAGCACATAGGAAGAGAAAGACTACACTAGGTTTGGTGCTGTGTGATCTATTTATATCCACAGATGTGACAATAGAAAAAGAATTATAAACATAGTTCATCTTGTGGGAATGGATGAGAACACTTATCCTTGTATAGAGAGGATGTTTTTGTCTGTGTGTGAAAGACAGAGAAGTGGAGGAGGAGGAATTTAGTGTTACATCACAACTTGTCTAACTTCTAATTAGAGAAGGAAGAAGAGGATTCTCTGTGTCTCTCTTTCACATGCCAACAAAAAAGGGCTCTGAGCAAGGATAGCTTTTCTCATCCATCCCAACAAGCTTGGTTATGCTTGTAGCTCATTTTTTTCCTGTAATTTAATGATAATGTACTCCACTAATTTCCTAGCAGGCAATGTTCCCATAATTTTCACTTGTGACCATGTGTATCACTACCCACAACATGCTTACTTCCCAAAAGCCTTGGGGACAGGATACCTGAGCCCATTTCAGTCTCTTATGGAAGAGCCCACCGTACCCAAGTTAATATAGGTGTATTAATACTAACAGATGAGCCAGATAAACTGAAATAATCAACCTTTCCTGCTTTCCCCCAAATCATTCTTAGATAATGACCCATCTAATAATCCAGATGTAAAGGTCAGGTGTTTGCTGCCTACAGAAGAGAAGTACAGCTATATATGCCATGAGGTTGAAATAAGTAAACAATACACTAGACCCCCTGTACTCAAGTCCCCATTTCAGAGTCCACAATCTTATAACTACATTTTTTTCTAACCTCTATGTGGGTCAATAGCTCATGAAAGATAAATTATATTAGTACACCAACAAAACATCTCCTTACAAACATTTTTAAATGTAACACATGCCAGGCATCTTAGCTGAGTATTCGCAATCAACTGAAAAAGAAAGGAAAAACAAAATCCCCACCCAATGTGATATTCCCTCATTCTCAGCCAATTTAGAAACATACATTCCTCCATCAATACTCTCACCTCTTTTAATCTTGGCAAGTGTGCCATCCTTGCCATATTTTGTAGTTTGCCCATTATGAAAGAATGTCATTTTCATCATAATGCTGTGATCAGTGAAATTAGTGTATAAAATATAAAAAATTGGCATGGTAATACAGTATTATAATATTTTACCTACCTGAAATTCTTTTAACAATAACATTATTGCAGGACCTGAGATTTTAGCTTAGTAAAATCATGATGATACTTCAGAATTTAAGGGTGGCAATCCTAAATCAATCTAGACATATATATCCCATTTTGAGCTTTTCCTTTAATGGTTTAAGTACAGATGCAAAACTGCATCAATATCTCTAACATGGCGACTCATACACCTAAATACTATACTTCAAGCTATGAAGTTGTAAAATTTTCTTAGAAAAAAAACCCTCTCAAATGAGCTAACTTGGAGCATGAAAGCACTATAGAATAATTTCTGGATAGTACTTAAAACCAACCAAAAAAAATTAAAACATTAGCTGCTATGTGTTAGTGCCTTTCCAGCTGTAAATAAAACAGTTACTGATTTTGTTTTCCTAGATATTTGTACTGGATTGATTGCTGTGAGTATCCTCACATTGGCCGTGTTGGTATGGATGGCACCAATCAAACTGTTGTCATAGAAACACAGATCTCCAGACCTATGGCTCTTACAATAGATTATGTCAACAGTAGACTCTACTGGGCTGATGAAAATCATATTGAGTTTGCTGACATGGATGGATTTCATAGACATAAAGGTTGGTCAAACAGCTGTAAAACATTCAATTTTTGACATTTCTTATTTTTAATTAAAGGTGTGTTATATTAATTGGGAAAAAAACTTTTGTATTTTAAATGTGAAGAATATTGTGCATTGCAAGATGACAAAGCTACATATTTTGCTTTTTTGTAAGTATTTTAAGAAGCAGAATGAGAATTTGTTTGCATCATTAAGCAGAATACTAAAGGATACTTCCTGATAAGAAAACAGTATTCTTCCCCCTTCTGTATTAACCAAATTTAGACAAGATCAAAAAGGTACATTTCTATTTCTGTATTTCTTCATTATTTCCTCTGTTTTTGCCAACACATATATTTTGCTAGACTACTCCTCATGAACACTGAATTTGTTGTAGATGTTGGTTGCCAACATGAATCCTGCAGGGCAAAATCCCTACTCCTGCCAATCTTCTGTATTTCTTCCAGGGCTTATAAAAGCCTCTTTGGCATTCTTTTAATACATGCAAATGTGCAGCAATTCATATCTGTGAAAAATGCCTTTTATCAAAAGAAAGCAAAAATTCTAAATAGGGACTGAGTTTTCTTAATAGTCCAAATACATTATTCAATAGTAAGATTTTTTTTCTTGGTTGAACTAAGCAGTAGTTTTTTAATGTGTTTTATTTATTAGCATAGAAATGTTACCCTCAAAGCTGCTGTTGTCACAAATGGTTTGCTGCCTTTTGGTATACATAATTACATAGCCTCTAGGAAGAAAATTATTAAGGAGAGGCAGTATTTTTCCGTTGTTAAAGATAACATTTAGTTTCTATAATAAAGCCTGATTCTGCCCGAACTTTACTCTAAAATCTTCAAATATGAAATACTGGCCTAAAAAAGTGATAGGTTAGCTCTAGAGCTCAGTGTGACAGACTGAATGTGTCTATTAATAAAATAATATTTAATAACGAAGAGAGTTGAGGGGTGAAAATAAGCTTTAGCAAAACTCCACCCAGTCATGTAAAACTACTTTCCTCAATGAGTAATGGATATGGCCAATCAGAAAGTACTATACTTGCCAGGCACAACTAAGAGTCGCTGAACAACATTCTTTTGGATATAGGTTGTTAAGCTTTTGAGAGGCAGCTATCAAAGACAGTTGAATCCTCTATTGGCCACGTGTCCGGCCTTGCCTTGGCAAAGCCTTAGAGAAAGCAATAAGTGTAAAACTCCGTTGTATGTATAGGTAACTGGGGAAACCTAGATGATGGGAGTTGGCTCCTGGAAGTGGCTACCCTAGATGATGGGAGATGGGTTCAGATAGGCCATACCCAAAATGAGAAGTAGAGGGGATGGAAAACTTAGAAGATTGCAAAGGGAGGGCTCTCTCTCTCCCCCTTGGAACAGTGTGGAGGTTAGAAGTCTGACACTAGGGTCAGAGCATAAAAGTACTTTTTGGAACATTCAAGCATTTCTTTCCTTTCTGTAACTTAAACTGAGATTGCCTTGTCTAGTTTATCTTATGTAAAGTGTAAATTTAGGTATGTTACGCAAACCATTTATTTTTCTCTTTTTATCCATTTTCTCTCTGTGTTTCTAAATATGCGGTTGTGTGTGCGGAAAGTTCACCCCAAGGAGAAAAGGCACCTGTTATCCTTGAAAGAGGGACAGGAGACAAAAGAGGTTTTGGAACATAACTCCTGCAGTTTTATCTTGGTTAATAAGGCATGGGCAAAAGGAGCCTGTGCTACATGACCAATGTTGCATAGGCTGTGGGGGTCAAAGACCCAAGGAGATGCCAGCAGGACCAAGGAAGAGATGAGAGTTGGTGGTGGGATCAAGTAACACTGAGAGTAGAATTTTTTTTCCAAAATTAAAGAAAATAGAAGATTTTTGCACTCTGGTGAGCATGTCCATATTTAGGTTGTCATAATTCAATAATCTCTTCATCTTTTTTTGTCACTTTATAGTGAAAAAAATGATGATGAGGAGAAAGATAAAACTTAGGAAATGAGATCAAGCACAGAGGGTCAAAGATTAGTTCATTAAATTCTTACTTTAAAATTTTTATTAACATTTTAAATAAAATTGTCAAGGTAGCACATCATCTCTTATAGACTTTAAATGAGGAGCCAGATGATTGCCAGAGACGTTTGTTTTTATTTTAAAAAATGAATAAGTCTGTAGCTTAGTGGAGTTTTATAGCTCTTTATGAAGATAGGCCTCAAAGTGTAAATAAATCATGTGGGGTGCTTGTCAGTAGTAATTAGAGTGTTTCCATCAGAATTTAGGTTAATCATACTTGATAATTATAAATTAGGAAACATTTAAAAAGAGATGTTCACCAATGAACAAAAATCTTCTGGGTTTTTGTTTGTTTGTTTGTTTGTTTTTGCAAGATTCTGTCCTGAGAAAGGAAAGTGCAGAGAATAAAAATTAAGTTTAGTGACTTTAGTTGAGATGGGGAATGCCACCCTGATCAATTGCCTATCCAGTCCCTTCTGGCATGCTCCCCTGCTACTTCTGGCAGATCTTCCTAAAGGACACACCTCTTTATGACCACCTCACATCTCCAAGAGGTCTGGGAGATGGGCTGGGAATAAGATGGAGCTTGGGAAGTCCATTGTTGAAGAGAGTATTAGATGCAGAACTGAGGGTTGCAAAGACGTGCAGAAGGGGAACATGGGCAAAACACAGCAAGGCCAGTAGAGAAGGGAAGTATGGGACTGAGAGCACTTCATCCTTCCAGCAGATGTCAAATGAATTGGTAGGTTTCACACTCACCAGTCCTCCCAACATGGCTAAATTGCCATGATGGAAGGCTTACAGCACTGCTTTGGTGTGTTGAAGATAAAGCCTCCCCAAGCTTGTGGAAGGGAGTAAGTTGGCCTCCAAAGCACATGCATAGATTTGGGGGTATTGGTGTTATCCTACAAGCATCATAGAGTTTGTCTGAGAATCCAGAATTCCTAATACCTACAGAGGGGTTGGAAAGGATCAAGTGAGAGAGCTACCTAAGGTTTCTTGGGAGGTTATGAACCCTAGTGGACACTCACTCATATTCATGTTCTAAGGTCCACATGAGTTGAGTTCCCCATCTGTGGATCATAGGAGATCTGCAGAAAAGAGAGAGAGAGGAATATCCCTAAAGTGCTATCTGCAAAATTATTTTACTCTCACCATTCTCTCTGAGCTCTTCCTGCAGAACTCAAGTCTCTGGGAAAGATTCCCCTTTCTTGAGTACCTTCCACATTTCTTGAGGATGTTGGAAAATGCATATAAGAAAGTTTTCTGAAACTAATGGGGGGTATGGCTTTTGGTGGACCTGGACACTTATACTCTTATAACACTGAACAGTTAACTGTGATTTATACTTTTCTGTGTAAAGATCTAAAAACTCTAAGATCTGAGAACTTAAAACTGAATTTCTGCTAAACAAATTATGATTTTATAATTCAAGGAGTAGTGAGGTTTTGTAAATCCCTGATTTGTTTATTTTTCATTGGATACCCAAAGAGTTGGTGAATTTGTTCTTTTATTATTTTCCTTTAGCAACTTAATTTAAAAATTGGAAAATAGTTAATTTAATTTTAAAATTGGAAATTAGTAGAAAACTTTAATTCAGTAAATATTAATGTGTGTTTTCTAATACCACTTTTATGAGGCAAGATAGAAAAGTGGGGTCTTTTTTGCGGGGGGGGGGAGGAGTTCTCTCACACAGAGAAGGAATCCTCTGGTCTGGGATCTAGCTAGTGGATTAAATGGTGCCCACAGAGGTCGGAGAAGGAACTAAAACTGCTTTGGCACCCAGACTGTTCCTTCTAAGTAAACTTTGGAACTGTTTTATCACCATAGCACACGGTCTTTCAGCAGCTTTTCTCGTGGCCGACCCGTGGGTTTTCACAACAATTCTCCCACATTATCACTTCTTCAGCCATTCCTATTCCTTTCCTCTCTTCCTGATGGCAATCCAAAAATAGAACTGTGCCATAGGATGTAGGGGAGGCAGCCTCTCTAGTGCTCAGGGCTGGATTAAGGAATAAGCACTGTAGGTCTGTGACTAGGGCCCCAGCTCCTAGAATGACTAGATTCCACTAGAATCTAAACTTTCATTTAAAAAGAAAAAAAATGTGAGATTTTAGGCCTCATGGTTATGAATAAAAGCTTCTACATGTGTATTCTCATATACAATGTAGTAATAATTGCCTGAGTCTGCAGACAGCCTGAAACAACAGGTGTGAACTCACCCATGCCTTTCAGTGTTAATTTCAAAACTTGTTGTTGCATGGGGCCCTACCAGCACCACCTTAGCAGAAGATATTGTGTGCAGCAGGCCCAGTCAGTGCAATACTGCGTGGACCTTCGCTGTCACCCCACATTGCCAGTGAAAGAAGAAAGACCTTTTCTTGACACCCTTGCTACTCCCAAGAGGAAGAGTGCTCCATACTGCTGCTGCCTCTTCCCCTCTGGGGTGGGAGGGTTTCCTCAGCATCACCATGGTGTGGGCTCAGGGCCACAGGCAGACCCTGTGGTGTGATATTCTTAGAGCTCTGGCTTACTTTAATCCATCCCTGGCTGCTTTTGACTGACAGAATTTGAATCTTGTGAGCTTGGTCTTTAAACCCAGTTTACTCTTCTTTTAAACTTCTAGCCATGGGTTGTAACAACTTTCCAACAGATAAAACACTGTCATCTCTCTTGCAGATCTTAGAAACTGTCTAGGAGAGGGGAATATCTGCTGCTTTCCTCTCCTGCAGAGTTCCTGATCTTTGCAGGTGAGAAATATCAGTGACTGCCCCCTCTTGTGTACATTATGGTTGGTAGGAGAGAAGTTGTAGTGAGAATTTTGACACACCACGTACGCTAGGGATCTTGGAGAGCTTAGGAGAACTTCATGTCAATGGAGGCAATACTAACTTTACACAGCTACTTAAAGTTTAATGGTTGATTATATAAGCTATATTAGAGTCTAGCAAATGTAAAGCTGTAGCACTCCCAAGTTTTATGCATATTAAATCATTGAGCATTCATTAGAGCA